TTGAAAGAAAATGGAGCAATTTCTGAGAAAAAAGTTTTTAAAAAATTTTAATTGTCTATATTACACGAAAACTACTCATACTTACGAAAAATTTAACCTGACCTTATTTCACGATCTGTTTTGGAAGAACATATTTCGTTAAGGAAATATTTTTGTCTTCGCTATTGTAGTTTTAGCAAGACGCAGAAAACAAATTGAATTTTTGCAATTTTCGAAAAATCAGGGATTTCAACGTAAATGAGACCTATATCATACCCTTTCCCATTCCCAGTCCTTTTCGCTATTCGAGAACAAAAGTTAATTCAACAATTTGGAACAAATTTTGAAAATGTTAAAGCTTCGTGTAAACATCGAAATACCCAATTGGAACTCCCAAAGCCTCGAGTTCGTTCAGATCGATAGGGAAGAATTATTTTGGCCAAAATCTGCTGAACGTTTTAGGCGCTACGTTGACCCTGGCGGACGGAGAGACACGTTTTGCCGGCAATCGATTTTTCGTTGTCAAGGACCCTCAAAACATGCATTCTGGCTTCACCACTTGTTAGAGGAAGTAATTTGTTATACGCAGCAACAGGATTTATCCACATTTATCCAATCCTTGAGTTTTCGAAATCTTCATGTGACGTCAGTCACAAAAGCACTTTGTCACAAATGCAATAGTGTTTGCAAATTGCTGTAAATGTGCATATTTACGGCGTGAGAGATCTTTCAAAACAATTATATTTGTGTATTTTTTGAAAAAAACAAATGAATACAGCAAAATTAATTCTATGACATCTTAAACGGTGCAATTAGCACTATCTGTTGGAAAAGTTTGAAGAAAAAATTTGTAGCCGTTTTAGAGAAAATGGTGTTTGAGCGTTTCTGAAAATGCTGTAGTTAAACGAACACATTTAAACATTTAACATTTTAACTACATTTAAACGAAAAACTGTTGAGTTTTTGGGAAACTTCATCTCGCATTATTTAATGCACATGTACTTATAAATACATTAATGAAAAAGACATAGCCACTAATGTAAATATTAACGACATGAAAGACGAGACAAAAAATTACATTTGTGTAATTTTTGCAAAATCAAAAGCATATAGCACAATGGCGTTTATGCCATCTTATAGAGTGCATTTAGCACAATCCCTGCCAATAGTTTAAAGAAAAAAATTGAAGCAGTTTGCAAGAAAATCTTGTTTTTCTATTCTTTTAATTGCACATATTGGTCGCAATATTGCGCGAAAATACTATTTTTTTAAATGTGCATGACCTTAATGAAAGAAATCACTATGGAGAACAAATTTTATTTGAAGGAAAAAACTCCATCTTCAATTTTGTAGTTGTAAAGAGACGCCCGAAAAAATTTAAAATTTTGAAATTTTTGAGAATTCAGAGTTAAACCTGAAAATATGACCTATGCTACATTTATAATTACATTTTGCGAGAAATTCGAAGAAAAAAATTGAAGCCTTTTTGAGAAAATTTTGAAAAATGTCCCGAGGGCTTCATGTAAAGTACCTCCAAATTTTTAAGAATGTTTTTCAAAATCTCAAAGATTCGACTCGAGCCAGATCGATAAGGGTTTATTCAATTTGGAAAAAAATCCTACGTACGGTTTAGGCGCTAGAAGTTTTCACAGACACCAGACGGACGGACGGACGGACATACGGACGTTTTGAAAAAAACAAACATGGCGGTATCCGGGGACCCCAAAACATATTTCCGTTGAAATCTCGAAATCGATTTTCCAGAGCATTACATAACCTTCCCTATACTACGTAAATTACTCCGTGACGCACGTTTACGAAAAAGTAAAAAGTACGTGCTATTTCAGCACCACTAGTTTTTTCTAAATTTAGCAACTCGATTTATCCACCTTTTTCATTACCAGGGCCAGTGCTGGTACTAGGCACGTGCAGCAAGTCAAGAGGCTCGATGATGCGAATGGTGCGAAAAATTAGTATAAAAAATTAACATGAAACTAGAGAAATTCGTTATCGTAATTTTGTATGTCGCGGTACAGTAGTCTAATATTTCATAAAAATTACTATCATTACTTATACGGTAGGGCTCCATGAAAAGAACCAAATTACGCCAATATTAAAATAATAAATGCTAAAATTAAAATAGGTTCAACTTAAATTCATATTTATTCCATGTATTTAACATCAAATTATTTTATTAAACTCTAACTAAGCACTTTTTTCTGCGTTTTAAGCGCACCGTGGAAATTATATTATTTCATTACTGAATACGTTTACTTAAAACTATTTTTTAAATGAATCGGAGAGAACAAAAACGTTCGAAGTCCAGGAGCTTCCAATTTTGAAGAGCAAGCAAAAAGTTTCTAAGTTCCGGACATCGAACATTTTTTCTTGACATTAACTGTTGAAGAACACTTTACAGACGTCACAGACAACGAAATTTTATGCATAGAAAGTTGAGTTTATATTTTAAAAGCGGTTTCCCACTGTTAACTCATAACCAGCAAAATGTGACATCGAATCTTTTGTGCGGTGTGCGATTCAAATAATTTCCAAAAATTTTATCTACCTTAAAGGTTGTAATTTTTGTTATTTATTGAAATAAAATAAACCGTGTAGTTTCTTGATACAACTTCCACATTTTAATTTTTCGGGGGGCGGGGGGAGAAGGCGGTAAGTTTCAGCATTGACCCGGGCCCAAATTTATCTAGCTCCGACACTGACCAGGGCTCAGTATAAAGCGTTTTTCTGCCAAAAGTTCGCCTTTTCTCGTGCAGCATTACATAACTTCCTCTCTACCTGTTAGCGAGAAAGTAAAAACTTTGAGGAGGCGTTGACGATAGGACTCTTTCTCGTGAAGGCAAGGAAAAGTAGTAATGACATCATCTGTTTTGAGAAATTCGATGAATTTGTAACTCTATACGGCCTGTCACCAAGCTTTGAGCCCAGACGTCAGATGAAATGTGACTCATGCGAGCAGGCTCGTATTGATGAGTTCAGCGAAGACCGACAAATAGTTTAACATGATCCGATTGTTGATATATGAGAAGGCAGGCTGCGCAACTATAGCGCAAGTAGGAAGGAAAGTTCTGTCAGGGACTTCAAGCTCAGCGTGGCATACGGTTGTCGTCAACAATCTCGAACTTCCACGCATGCGCAGATTCTCAAAAGTGATATACAACTCTTAAGTGCGCATGCGGACGAGATCGATTTTTTTGTCGATTGCTGAGTTGTACGTTGTGCTCCAAGTCCCTTCACTGCGAAGGTCCCGGAGAGGGAGTCTCCATGATTAATTCGGGCTTGCTCCTGTACACGAATGTAATATAGCCTAATGGCCGCGAACGTTCATCAGAAACGAAGCTGGAAGCCACACTTTGTATGAGGAATGTTACTTGGGCAGTTAACGTGGAAATACACACTGGATTTATTTGTCACTGCATTGGAGGAATTATTTGAATATTTTGCAAGGTATCTGTTAATTTTGTGCGTTTCCCCTGTATGAGAGTTTATTTAAATGTTAAACACATTTCTATGTTAGAAATAATGTCTTTAATTCGTAATTAGAATCAGTACAGACTACAATGAAAATACATTTTTTCTGGTAAGGTGATTCGAACGCAGACTTCTGAACGAATTCCTGCTCTAATTTGTAAGCGCCTTTGCTGCTTTAACTCGATAGTGATAACTCGATAGTGAGCGAAGTGATAGTGATAGTGATAGTGGTGGTGGTGGTGGTGGTGGTGGTGGTATTGTTGTTGTTGTTGTTGTTGTTGTTGGTAGTTGTAGCAGTAGCAGCGATAATAATAATAATAATAATAATAATAATAATAATAATAATAATAATAATAATAATAATAATAAAAAGAATTAAGGCCTGTCGAGTGGGAATTTCCTGCATGACAGATTGATTAATTAGTGTTTCCGGACGCGTCAACTCCTAACGTTATTAGTTCCGTAAGTATAGTACATGCGTTTTCTTCGGGAGGTGGCCATGTTCTTCCCCCGCTGGATGGTCGACAGACTTGCGGGATTTTACCTAACCAGGTATCTCCCACCAGCGGGGCACCGCCCCTGTCGGGAGCAAGCGCTAAGCTCCCGACATGGGTAGAAGTGTAGTGCGTGTGTGTGTGTGTGTAGGTAAAGGGTGAGGGTAGGACAAGATAAAGGAGAGAAAGATCCCGCGCGGTCCGTTGCCCCTTTTGTTAGGTCACTGAATCGGCATTCGCTTGGTGTTGAACCGAGAAACCACGGAAAACTACCGATTAGAACAGCCGACCGCTAAATTTGTTCTCCAGATAATGGCTGAATTTGACATACCTAGCTAGCGTCGAAAATCCTACCTCCGTAGGGAACCCTAGAATTTTCCGGTTAGAGGTACGCCAGTGGCATTAGTTGATGTTCTGAGCTACATAAGCCGATGCATCTGCGTGACGGGAGCATAATAACATGGTTGTTGATATTATTGTTGTTGCTGTTGCGGTTGCTGATGTCGTTGCTACTGCTGTTGTTTTTGCTGCTACTGCTGCTGCTGCTGCTGCTGCTACTGCTGTGAGAGGGGTACCGAATGTGATCAAGAGTGAGAAAGCCTAACAATTCCTGAACAATTTACTCATAACTTCACTAGGGGAATAAAAAAGTTATATATAACGTAATATTTCTTGTAATAAATCTATACATACAGTATATAATATATCTATATATACAGTAATAAATCTTGTACATTCCTCAGATTTAGGAAAATACGAGCAAATGTAAACATTCGCATCATTTAAATTCAATATTTCAGAAAAATATTTTTATTCTTTCAACTTTTGTGTCATATATGTGCATTTATGCGATGCTAAATGTGTTTTCTATGTTCTAAACGTCGAAATTATGTAATTAGCATGGTGTATGTCCACTTTACGATTTCTTAAAGCGCGCTTCGGAACTTTAACTCTAAATATTACCAACAGGTAGCAGTGTTCGGCAATTCAGCGCCTTCTCCCACCACATTCTTGCTAACCGCTTGTAAAGCGATATCCTGCAATGTGACCAGAATGTGACAGGATAGAAACTGACCAGAACGACCGAAGTACGCAATGTACGGGTAGTGCGGGTAGTGTCGGCAGTCGGCAAGTGTGGTTAGCGTGTGCAGTGAAGGTTGTTGCGGGAATATGGGTTAAGTTGTGTTCGTATAGTTTTGACATTCTGTTGCGTTCGTTAAATATACCTGTAGGTCATTCGTCAAAGGAATCCTTCATATCTTTTTTGACAACTGTCATATCGTGTAAGATCGTTTAATGCGTACTGTGTGAGGCTGCAGATTGCCATATTTATTTTACCAACAATTTAATGTGCCATTCACATAGTGCCCGACAGTCTGTTTCGATTATTAGTGCAATGAAAGCTTTAAGCTTATTACAACAAGTTAAATCTATTTGGTGATGAATCTTTTTCCAGGCTTCATGAAGCGTGTGTTTTTGCAAAGTGTCATGTAAGATATTTGTTTGTAACATGACTCCACCAAGTAAAATACAGCAGTTATGGGAATTATTTATACAGTCTGAGCATTCATCATATGAGGTAAGATAAATACTTGTGCCACCAATGTGCTAATTTCAAACAATATTGCAGCCTTAATATTTTAATTCATGCATTTAATTTTCTTTAGAAATCTACATGGCTGGATGTGTTTTTAGCAGAGTTTCTGGCACAAGTGCATGAAGGAAAGTCGGTGGAGGATATTCTGTCATTCTGGTGAGTTGACAGGTGTATGTGATGGAAGTACAATTTTTTGATGGACAAGTGCTCTTGATTTGTTTATCTATTCCTTTTAGACAATATTTGTAAACGTCTAGTTTCAAAAGAAATTCTGGCAATTTTATGGAGATGCTATGTTTCAATTACAGCTTTTAACAAATTGTCATTGTGGGGGTTGAAATTACATGTTTTGTGCAATTTTACTCAATAATTTGCTCTTAATTTTTTCTAATTATATTTCAGCTTGGTAGGTGGTGTTGCTACTTTAATTGGTTGTGAATTACTAACTGATGTCCATCAGATCTGTTCACAACCTGGAGATGGTGAAGATTTGGCACCACTCTGCCATTATCTTCTGCATGGGCGTGGGTGGCGAAGTTTGGCAGTATTGCATTGCCTTGGTGTACAGGTAAGAAACATAATATTTATAAAATATATTTTGTGTTCTCTTACTTATAATCTTTTTAGTGTATCCATATTAAATTAAAATAGTTTAATGACTTCTCTAATTGTTAAATTATGGATTGTGATGGTTAGTAGACTTGTGAAAACATTTTTGAAGTTCACACAAGGTAACTATCTCTTTTTTAAATTCAACTTTCTTGTATTGTGGCGTTTAAAAATTATGCTTACATGTGTAAACGTTATTGATATTACATAAATTTTAATATCTCCATACATTGCAGGTTGATAGGTAGGTTGCCTGTTCCTATTTCCCAGTAGACCTGGTGGAATCTTTGTGTGGGACAGTGTTCCTGATCTAACCATTTTGTTTAATGTCTCTTAGCCCTATCAGTATTGTTACCCTGAAAGTCAAATACTTAATGCAGAAGAATCAATTGTTAAAGTAGTGTCTAGCACCTTTTTTTTTAGAAGCCGAATCTTGTTGGTTTCTCTTTCATAAATTGCTTGGCTCCATGTTTACTGTTGTATTAATGCTGTTAGACCTGGACTTATGAACTCGAAATTAGAATTCATGATATCATAAAGACCAGATATTGTATAACCAGTTACTCCCATCACTGGTATAATTGTCCTCTAGATGCATTGCACTTATAACATGATCCAAAGTATTGTGATGAATTGTATTCACAACTACAGGCACATGTATATCAGAATCAGTCTTTCAAAGTCTTCTTGAAGGCAGGGTATTTAAGCCGGACAGAAGTGAAATGCCATAATGGATAAATCTCATCAGGTGAAACACATATATCATGCCATAAATGTTGACCTCCGCATTGGTTTGTAATAATGTGATCTAAAAGATTACTTCTTAAATAAACTTGAAAAGCATTGACAGGACAACTTACTGAATTTTTCATCAAATTTTCTGCAGTTGTACCGCAGATTCCGCAAACTGCAGATTCCAGTGTGTTGAAATACTGTGTGACAAGTCTTTGCTTTTATGCCATTCAACAGAAGTTTGTTTAGGTTTTAGAACACGACTGATTACCTTCAGCTTGTTGAAGCAGTTTCATCTCTAACTCCTTTTTTTGAAAATTATTTTTAAAAAAATTTGTTGTGTCTTCAACTGACACAATGCGTCTCCAAGTCCCAGGGTAATCCTCCATTAATTTCAGCACGGAGTAATCCTCCATTGACAGTCGTATTCGTCACATCACGTCGCAGTCAGTTGTCAAGAGGACTACCAAGTAGCATCTCCATGTACGTGTCTCGAACTACATGCCCCTTCATCACTACTCGCGGCCAGAAGGAATTAGAATTGGGAAGGAATTAGAATTGGGGTATGGTTTAGGATGCTTCACAGGGGTTCGACTATTCCCTGTGAAGCGTGCAAACTCGTTTTGTCATAACAAATTTCACATGAGGTTCTATGGAAATCAAACCCCGAACGTCAGTGGTGAGAGACAAGCGACTTCGCCACTGAGCCACAAAAGCATTTTTGTATGTCATCATTCATGTAATCTCCAATTAGATGCATCTCTACAGTTTTTCAGAGGTGTAAAATTGTTTTGGAGTACAAAATCTGGGCAGGAAGATGATCAGGTTGACAAGGTACTTTCTCATCGAAGTTTTCAGAATCTTTGTACGTATTGGCATTAGGATGTTTTTTAGGCAGTCAAATAGCAATATTGCCAGAACCTAAGCTGTCATTTTCTGAAGATTTAACCATTCGTGTGATCACCCTTACTGGAAAACCTTTCAAAATATAAAATGTACTTTGAGTTATGCAAAATAATTAATCATTGTTATTTAGTGACTATTACTCACATATCAAACAAAGTTTTAAATCTCGGCAAATGATGTTATATGTAAAGAATATATTTTTTCAAAAAGTATTATTGAAAGGGCCCAGAGGAAACTTAATTTGCCACACAAATTCTGATTACACCCTCAAAAAGAAATAAATTATTTTTGCACAAATATTTATTGAAATATGTTCCAGGCTGTATTACAATGAGCACCATCAAATGATGAGACTATTGCCATTAAGGATGAACTATTGGGGCAAATTTTGGACTACATCAGTAAACGAAAGGAAATAATCTTGCTGGGAGATTTTATTGCTAGATTTGGATTGAAAGTAAGTGACGCAGTTGTAGGGCCTTAAGGAGTAAATGATGTAAATAACACCAGGGAAAGGATAATTGACATTGCCAACAATATTCCCTGAAATTTCAGAATGGTTACTATCAACATAAAAGTGTTCATAAATTTATCTGAATTCAACCTACTCTTCATCTACAGTCAATTATGGACTATGTTATCGGCAGACAAAACACAATGCTATAATTTCACTATGTCAGAGTATATAGAGGCGCAGAATGCGGAATGGATCAATACCTCGTTGCAGCAAAAATTGTACTCTCCTTTGAAACCATCTACCAAAACTCGCTATGAAGATAATTATGAATATGATATGCCAAAAGCTGCTCAATATAATATCCAACCTTTTAATGATGATTCGACTGAGTTTTTGTACAAAGCTAGACTGTTTTCCAAACTGAATGATATAACCTATTCTGATGTAATAAACATGTACAATGGTATAGTAAGATGTGTCAGTGAAGCTTGATCAGGTTTTTGTTGAGTTTCCCTGATCCTTGAGCAAATGCTGAGATAGCCCCTTGTTTTGCTTCTGGACAATAATGTAACATTAATTTAGCTTCTCCCCATAACAAAATAAAAGCTGCATTAGAAGCTCTTGGAGAATTGCGTTAACCTAATAATGAAGATGAATCATGTAAAAATCTTTGGTGGAATGATAATTTGGAGAAAATTGTAAATAAGAAAAAGAAAGCTTAGGAGAATAGAAAATATTATTCACAATGTTGTAGGGAAGTAAAGAAAGAAAGAAGTAAGGAAGGCCAAAAATGAAATGGGGAATAAAAAATAAGAGACATTGAGGAGCATGTGGGTTATAGATAGGCCACTGAAGCATGAAAAATATAAAAAATTACTTGGAATAAACAGAAAAGAAGACGATGCCCGTAAGTCATATTCCCTTAAGAGTAGAAAGTCTATCATCAGAAGCTGTTAACTTAAGACCGTCCAGAATTCCACTCATTCACGATCAAGATCCACTCAATCAGACGATGAGATAAATTTTTCAGATAAGATTTTTACAGAAAATGACATCTCGGTCAGTGAGATGAAAAATGCTCTTAGATCTATGAAAAATGGACGCTCGCCTGGACCAAACAAACTCCACATAGAACTTTTTAAATATAGGAAGGACTTGCTTTACGAGATGTTAGTTTATGTTTCAAGCTGTTTCTTGAGGGATGAAATTGTGCCCCGTGAGTGGAAAACTGCTTATATTTCTCACATTTACAAGACAGGAGAGAGAGGAGTTTGCTCCAATTTCAGAGGAATAAGTGTGACTAATTCTCTTACAAGACTATATGCCAAAATTATAAAACAAAGAATTGAAAATCAGATACACAAGCTAGAAGAACAAAACGGATTTCATGATGGAAGATCATGTATGGATCGTGTTGTTGTTATTTATTTTTTTAAACTGGAGAAACTGATAGCAAGCGACCTTGAAACCCACTTGGTCTTTATGGAGTTAGAAAAGGCATATGACAGTATTCCTCTCTGTAAATTGTGAGTAGCAGGTGGAGTTGGCGACCTATATACAAGAGCAGTGAAAGTACTGTATGTTAATTGTACTAGCAGGGTAAAGATTGGTCGAAAAAATATCTGAAGTATTCCCTGTCACCAAAGGTCTGCGACAGTGATATGCAATCACTCCCACACTCTTCAAAATATACTTGCTTTGGAGAGATAGTAGCGAACTTGCGCAAATATGAGAATTTCAATCGGAACTGATACATTGTTCACTTCGCTTTTTGCTAATGACCAATTGATATTGGCAGAAGATGAAGATGATATCCATTACATGTTGAGGAAGCTGTTTGAAGAATACCAGAAATGGGAGCTAACATTAAACATCTCTGAAACTAAATATATTGTAGCTGATAATGCAAACAAAAATTTGGTGCTACAGGGTGGTATTATGAAAGAAGTTAACAGCTTCAAGTACCTTGGAGTAACGTTTTCCAAAAATGGTAAAAGTGAAGCTGAAATTATTGAAAGAATAAGAAAAGGGAAACAAGTTACAAAACAGCTGCAGAATTCTTTATCGAGCACACAAATAAGACCCTGCATGAAGGTAAAGATATAGAAGTCTATTGTACCGAGCATAGGAGGATTGTATGGAGCAGAAGTGTGAACAACTAAAGAAAAAATTAAGAGCAACCACAATGGATTATTGACATTGTCAGCTCATGATACAGGACAGAATAAGGAATGAAGATATGTTAGCTAGACTAAATGTATGGACCACAATTTAAGACACTGTAAAAACAAAATGCCTGCGATGGTTTGGGTACGTGCGTCGAATGGATGAGGGAAGATGGCCCCAAAAAATGATCGAATTTACCCCTGTTGAAAGAAGAAGAATAAGAACAGGGAGACCGAAGACACACTGGAAAGATGCAGTAACTAAAGTGATGGACGGAAGAATCCTGTAAGAAAACGACTGGGAATATCGTAGCAATTGAAAGCAAGGATGCAGTAAGCGACTCTTTAAGTTGTAATAAATTTGCAAAAATAAATAATTAAATAATGTATTACTATTGATAAATATATCATAAAAGCAAAAATAACTACATGGAAGAGGAAACTTATATTGTAAAGAATACGGTATAGCAACAGTTTTCATTATGCATGCACATCGAGAAATGAAAAATCACTGAACCTAATGTAAAGAGAAAGAGAGAGAGAGAACTTTCCGGAATATAAGAAGAGGCAGTATGGGATAATAGTTAAAACTGCTTTTGTATCAATTCTGCACCTCTAAAACAAAATATCCGACATGGCAATTAAAGTTGCCCCTGGGCACTAATGGGTTATAAAGTGATAAAGAAAATTTTCTTCTTGATTTGAAAAATGTAGTAACTTAACTGGAGATCTATTCATGTGACTCTCCACATTCTTTCCATTTAGTAATTTTTGAAATTGAAAACTGTTGAATTGTTTGTTTAGTTAATACATTTTTTGCCCACTCTGATAGAAATTTGTCAAAAATATTTTTGAAAACCTTATACCACACAATTTCTTCGAAAGATAATATTTCATTTTGAACATAAAGTATTGTTTTGAATGACAAATGAGAAAGTAAAGGCTTCAATTGGGTATATTTGTGCCATTTTTTTTTCTTGTATGTACTTAGTATCCAGCTAACATAATACGAAGTATTTTATTCAGTCGTAAATATAGTTTTATTGTTGTTCATGAATTTTGTGATACAACTTAAGATTTTTAATTTTCATGGTTATCATCTGGCAGCGTTGTTATGTGAGGATATTGAGTAAGTGTGATAGTCATGAAAAAAGTCAGTGTTCAGAATTTAACAGAATTTTTTCTCATGATCCATGCCTGATTAAAACCAGTTTTTGAATTGTCTACGTGTGTTCTAAATTATTTATCAAGATTTTGTAGGCCTTTGGGTATATTGCTATTTCCAATGATAAATTTCAATTAAATAGTATTTTGCACAAGATGATTGTAAAAGATTTTATATGAAGAATGGAATCTGATATTGATGTTTTTGCAGATTCATTAACTCCGTTATGTGGTGCAGCTATTAAATTTGTAAATTTAAGGACCTGAAGAACTCATTTTTTTTACATCCATTAGTACTTTTTATTTATTTATATATAAATAAAATATCAAGAACAAGTTGGAAATAAGTGATTAATTTATTAGATGCTGGAGAATAATCTGTTTCCAGCCTCTAAGCTAAATATCTCTCAACAATTAAATATTATAATGTATTCTTGTATTAATGTATATTAAAAATGGAGGGAAGGGTGTTTGGATGTTAATGTTTTTCATTTTCACTCCAACTTTCAAAGGTACTGTATTTGCTGGTGTATAAGACATACTCCATTATTAAATATGATTTTGTGAGAAAACGAAAAGTTCACTTATGGAAACGTAACTAAGTTCACTCTTAATTTCATTAAATGGAAAATATTATGATTCAGAATATAAAAAATTCCTGACTGAAGATTTTGCTGTTTCATGTACATATCATTGTTGTACTCAGTTATTGTTACATTTCGTATTGATCATTCAACAGAAAATGAATCTTGAATCCAGTGACAGTGACAATGAAATTTGTACTTCACCTGAATTTCAGGAAGTAGCTTATTCTACAACTCTACAAATATTGCCCGAAAAATTAAGGAAGTATAATGAACAATCATATACAACATTTTTGAAATTGAGAAAGAGCAAGAAGGTGAATTCTTTTAGTGAGAACATTTTCTTGGCTTACTTAACAAAACTTTCTCAACAGTATAAACTCTCTAGTTAATGGAAGATTTACTCAATGTTAAGAAGAATATTGTACATACACGTTTGATGTAGGTAATCTCTGTACTCTAGTTTCAAATAAATCAAAATTGTTAAAAATCTATTCTGAATATTTCAAGGTTGTAGAAAAAATATAGTTTTCCCTCACGTACCATGGCTCGTAGAAATTATGACACTCGTTTCTATGTCAGCCATGTTAAACATCATCTCATGAATTGTAGCCACCATTATGCACTTGTTGAAAAATATTGTATTCTGTATCACATTTTGCCTTCTAATTTGAGTTTAATAGCTTCAATATTTGTTGATTAAATCTAGTTTCCAAGTTTTTTTTTGTTTGTTCTTTTGAAGATTTATTTATTTCACTTTTAATTTCATAAGATTCTGATTTCTCAAATTTGAATTGTAATCTTTATTTTCATAGGCTATATAAGAACAGAACAGCAAAACCTTGTTATAAGTGATTCTGAGGGAATGGAATTTTGTCTCTAGTAAGGTGGCCAATTTTTTTACATTGAAAAGGACGACGAAAAGAATTAAGAGAAAAGTACAATGTAAATAAATTAAACATTTTATTAATTCAAACAAAAATACATTAATTATACTTAAGTCCCTTTTAATTATTTAATTAAATGAGTATTTTTCAATTGAGTGAATATTTTTTTGTCAATATATCATTTTCTAAGATATTTCCTTCATCTCGAATTTTATGGAAAGTGCATCTATCATCGTTCTATATTGATTTCTCGCTTTTCCAAAAATTTAAAATACTGAAACTGAAACTACTGAAAACCGCGAATTCCGCCAATCAAGCAACACTAATCGCGTCTTTCTGTACTGTACTGTCGCAAGAAACGTATCATTTCGGAGTGGCATCTCTGTCTACAAGGATTAACATATTAGTTTTAAAATATGGAAAAGGACACTCTTTGAGAAAGGACAGAACTTACAAAAGGAGGACTGTCTTCCCTAAACAAAGACGATTGATCACCTTAGTCTCTAGTTAGAGGATAATTGTTTACGCACAGTTGTCCTAGGGGCCATATGCAAGTGTTAGTGGGATTTTCGTATAAAGGAGTTTCCATTAACAGGGTTTTGCTGTATTTATTATATTGAAATTATTCTTCTCAGTCAAAGAAATGGAATTTCCACTGCCTCATTAGGGTGTGGGCAGGTCAATGTTTCACTTCATGGCAATGGATAATTATAGTGAATATGATAAAAATAATATGAAAGAAATGTAATATGTTTTATAAAACCTAGTACAAAACAATTTTCTTTTAAATGAATTCCACAGTGTAACTAGAATTTGAACCTAACAGTTCAGACACGGAAGGTGTCTGTATCGTCTTTTTTTAATTGCTGCATCATGTCAGGTCATCATGACTTCATGTAATTTGCTGACACATGCAATAATTTACTGTCTTTCTAACTGAAACGTTTATTGAATTGTATTGTTTCTTTAAAAATATGGATGCACTAGAAAAATATGGGAACTACTATGCTATATGTCTTGAAATTTCTCATTATACCTAGTATCAATTTAGAATCTTTAACATATGTGATGCACTCTTTGTTAATATTAGGTGAATAATAAAACGTGTATCAACCTTGCAGTGTGATGAAAGAATGTTATTTAAAGTAATGGTTGTTCCTATAAATTTCTTCTAAGTATGAATGTTAGCTCATTAGGTAGCTTATAACTGAATGTTCATTGATTAAAAATTGTCTCTGCTTTCAGAATTTATCCTGTGGTCGTGAATTAGCAAGTCTTTTAATATCATTGTATCCAGTATGTCTTCAGAAACCAATGAAAAACAAAAAAGAAGTGAAAGCTCAGAATCCTTATATTCCAAAAAAGCCAGCAACCAATATAGAAGATGTCTTCCGAATTCGGACACCTCTAAAAAACAAATTTCGCTTACCTTCATTTACCCATAACTATAATTTGTGTCCGCCATCTCGAGCAGAGTTTCACCGAAGTTTCAGCAATACTTCTACAGGGCGCCTGAGAAGATCAAAAACTGTAGTCAGCACAGATGGCACCAAAGGAAATACAGAGGGAGCAACTAGTGAGTCTGAACACTTAGAAGAAGACTTGGATACACTGCCCAGTAAGGCAAGCACCTTAAAAATAAGATTGGACCCTATGGATTTTGATTATTTTACCTCTGTTGTTCGAAGTGAGGATGAAGCTCGTTTGGATAGTCACAATTACACTCCATTGAAGAGAGGAGGTCGTGATTCAAAGGAAGAGCGAAAAATTCCAGATGATTTCAAAGATGAACGTGTTTTGAGAGTATTAACGAGTGAAATTTGCAGTTATGAATTTTTTCAGCTTGTTATTCACCTTCTTCAGAGTTTATGTACCTCTGAAATAAATGTAGCTTCAGATAATGCACATCAAATTGCAGTTCAAGCTATCAACTTTTCTTTGGAAAATTTATGTTCCTTGCAATTCGGTTCTGCCCCAACTGAGCCATTCACATCTACAGAGGTTGCCGAACTAAAATCAGCTATGACACAATTATTGCTTGCTGCTCTAGAAAAAATTCTCTTATATTCTGATGTAACCATGACTGTGATCCGTAATGGCATGCTTCCAGTCCTTTTAAAAGTTCTTGAAGATGCTATTTGTAAAATATCTGCTGCAGCTAAAAATGCAGAAGAGGAGTGTGTTTTAGGTGATGCAATAATTTCTAACCTGCAGAGTACAAAAGCAGTATCTGAAACAGAGGCTTGTAAGATACAAGAATTTATATTTGGTTGTATGTATGGTATAATTACATTTTTATACTGCTTATTGTTGCAACGTTGCACTGTGGACAAATTCAGAGATTTCTTGGAATTGTTTCAACTGTTTGCTGAAAGTCATGGTGGGCGATTGGTTGAGAAAACAATTACAGCTATTATAAGTTTGCCCCATGTGAATTCTCAGATTTCAATTTCCAGAGCGAAGAAAGTTATTGACTTAACAGGTCAGTTAATTGCAGCTTTGAAGAAAGTGCGATGTGAAATAATACATTCTCATCAGTGCCGTAGGACACGGCATAAACAGTGCATCAGTACTGCAGCTCTTGAAACCCACCATCATCTAGATCTTTTCGGTGCTGTGTACAGTACATGCATTGTTGCTGCAAATCCTCACCACGCATGCTGTATTGCTTCTTTGTTTATGGTCTTGGTGAGACTTCTGAATTCAAACAACTTGCAAATTGAATCTAGAGTGATTAAAGTCATGATGATGTGTGGTACCTGCTGTTGTTTTCCTGTTCGCTCATTGATTGCACCTCTATTAGAAATTGTGAAGAAAAACGGAAGTCAGTGTCGACATCTAGTGTTTGCTTTGTTGGAGAGAACCATTTATTCTGAATTGGGTGCAATTGCAACTGCTGACAATAAGATATCTTGTGTTATTTGTTATAAGAGCACATTAATTTCCAAGTCTATTAGCACAGATTACTCTGCAGAAGAATCGTTTGAGGCTGGACAGAAGGGCCGGATTGCTAAGGAGTATCAGGTCTCTTCCAAACTTGGAGATGCTGATAAGCTTTCTCTTGTAACCTCTTTTGAGGTACCAAGTGCTCGAAATCCTTGGAGTTGTTTGGAATTATTTCAAGATTTGCTGCAGTCATCAGATATAAAACTTTGCCATGATATCACATCCCATTTACTGAAAGTTTCTCCAAGATGTACACCACATGTTAAGCAAGAATTACTTTTCAATGTTTTCTATCCAACGTTTTGTGTTGCGAAAACCCAGTTTTTGCTAACAGATGATGATGTATCAAAGTTCAACGTTCTCTCTTGCCTTTCCATATTTTCTTCATTATTGGGCAGTATTACGTTTGCAGATTACTTTATTTCACAAGGAGGATTGAATCATATTTTAGATCTGATTTCCTTGCCTGTGTTTTCGAAACTATGTTGTTCAGTATTGGAAATGATTGCCATTGTTGAAATCTGGAAATTGGAATCAGAGGCCAAGGTACACAATGGAAGTGAATCTCATGTATGTGACTTAAAGCAACTACCATCTCTGAACATGCTACAAAATGCTATGGAGGCTTCATCTCGACGATTATTAGTTATTTTTGACAAGTATACAAATAGTCAGTCTGCAGGTATTTCTAATGGATCATCAACTCCTGTGAATACTACAAGTGGTACAGAATTAGATGATAACAAACCATCCCAGGAAACTACTGAAGATTCTGATGGATTGGACAATGAGAACTGCAATATTAATTCTGAAGATACGAAATCAATGCTTGAAAGTTTGAATGAAAGTGATGTGGATGTGAACAAAAATGCTGTGGATTCTTCTAATACTAATGATGCAATGCCTGGAGTAATTCTTACAAAAGAAGATCGAGATACTTATTGTCAACTACTCCCGACACTTTGTGTGTTTTGGCGCTCGTGTGCTAACTTGGTTGTTTCTAGTCCAAGCTTCCGAGCACATTTACAGCGCCAACCTGTTGCAGAAGATGCTGGCCATCTTCTTCTGTGTGCTCTCAATCGTGTTGTGCAAGGAAATTTTTTTATGGGTATGTTGATTTTATTTATTTGCTAAAATTTTAAAATGTATTTCTATTTGATGTAGCACTCTGTTAAAAACGTTCTCATTGCTTCAGGATCTTTGAAGTAGAATAATTTTTATGAGGGAAGTAGAATATACACAATAAGATTAATATTGGCACCCACATTTAATTTAAGCAAATAAAGATAAATTTATCTTATTTATAAACTCACATTTTATTAACACATGACAAACTGACACTACAGTACCTGCCCTACTAAGGTCCCTTGGTCATTTTCTTGCAGTTGCTATCTACAATTCTTGCCTGTTCAAAAACATGAAAAATATTTGGAATATACTGACTAAAGTGATTATAGAGGTTGTGAAAGGCTCTAGTATCTAGAAAGAGAGTGCTCATATCACTCGGAAATGAGGTGTAGTTCCTCAAAACAATAACAGATATCTTGCAAGGTAGAGCATGCCAAGACGAGAATCACCATTCATGGTCTTCTCAATTTGCACGAGTGATGAGAATTTGGCCCCATGATCCACAATGTGTTAAAATTATTTTAGGAGAATCAGAAAGTAATGCAGTAATGATTGGTTTCAATATTTTGTCTAGAAGTTATTTGTGCCATGAAATTCTGTAAAATCAGCTGCTTGGCATCAAAAACTAGACACTATACGGGAGGAGGTTGAGAGATGCGAGTTGTATTCAGTTGGTTAGAATGGATTTCAAAGCTTAGTTTTATATAACCACTTGTGCTGTACTAGGGGCAACATGATCATTTCCGAAGTCTTCCCACTCTTCACCTTTGCAGCACACTTCATCTCCTCTTTTCTGTACACTTCCTTTAACTTCTCTTATTGGGAGACGAATATCGGTCATTGCAATGAAATAAAAATATGTAGAGGGGAAGGGATCTGCCTAAATAAATTGTCTCCACTGTAGTCAGGGCAGTTATCATGTTATTATAATTAATTTGTGTGTGCCAAGTTGAATTGTACAATTGGGATCTTAGTCTGAATTTTTAATTATTACAGGAATAAAATATACAATGTTTTTTCTCTTTTTTATGGTTCCTTGATATTTGTGTGTTTCAAACTTTTATGAAGTTTTTAAAAGTTAGAGAAAAAGAGATTTAGAACAAACTAATGAGAAAATACATAGAATTTCTTAAAACTATGTACTTTTGGCTTCTTAGACTTAAACTTTTAATATTGAATGCAATCTTCTCTTAAATCGTGTTTGTTCCAACTCGTGCACTGAAGGCGCTACCATATGCTGATGCAAATACCTCCCTTTTACTTCACCCACGTTGGAATGCTACTGCCCCCCAACTCAAGCCCCTTATTGAAGGGTTAATAAGCAATACGTTCATATTCAAGAAAAATAGCTGAAAAGATTAAATTTGAGGGTTTTGAAATTTAAACTTTTTACAAAGCTTTATCAGAGACTTCTTCCTTACATTGATGATGATACATTTCTGACTGTAATTTGTCTTATCCCAGTAGCAAATGTAATATTTTATTGTGTACCTTGCCAGTTTGAACACGTTTCCAAGGATACAATATTGCTGAGCTTGGAGAGGTTGTAGTGTTTGTCACTAAATGGCAGCAAATACTGTTCAAGTGAATATTCTGCTTTTGCTATGTTGTGAAAGGAAACTTGAACTGCCCAGGAGTAGAAATGCTTGAATCACCAGTGACCAGAGTTTTATTTTCAGCATGGAGTGAAGGAGGGGAGGTACTGCAACTTAACTATGATCAAACTTTTCTGCTGATGTCTAATTCAGGGATATGATACACCTTCCAACTTGGCACTTTTCCCTTCAAGGAAAGATGTTCAATGTAGCGTAATGTCTATAATTAAGTGGTGTGCAGTATGGTCGAGTCATATCAAAAGATAGAAGACGTCTCTTTATTATGTCAGTTATATATTTATATATATA